TAGTTGCTCTGAAGCCTGTGAGATGAGACCTTTTTGTTCCAAATACCACTGCCTTAGATGGCATCACTTGCGGCACTGCTCCCTTGGTGTCAGCAAACTGCTTCTGTCTTATCCACTTGTCTTTGTCTGTTGTTATATTTCACAGGGAGTGTTCCCACACAGGAGGCCTTATTGTCAGTGGAAGATCTACTAGTTCTTGATGGTTGTGTGTTGTGCAGGCTGCCATCGCGGTGAAAGCATGTTCTGTGTGTGGTCTGCTTCTGTCTTCTGTATGGGCACTCTGTGTACTTTTTATTCTGCACACATTCACATGGGCAATGTACTAGAAGTCCCACAGTATACCAAAACAGTTCAATGCAATTATATGTACCTTTGCGCCCCAACTGGATGGATTTTGATTTGAAAAGATTTGTTTGAACGATCAAACCCAGCTCTCACCAAATACTGAAATTATCCACTAAACACTCCTGTCCTCAGGCCGAACAAACCATCGCTATCACATCTTCCCCACAACTTATCTCACTGACAACTTTACTCTATCATGTTAATGTTTGAAGCTCCACTGAGATCAGATTAAGATTGGTTTATTGTGTGAAGCGAGGCTTGAGGAAGTATCCAAGCTATGATGATGGATGTATTATGTGATGTTATCAAAGATATGATGACTTGATTTATTGCATGAATTCAGTGCTTTGTTAACAGCAACTGCTTTAGTATGTGACGCTTGTATTTGGAAATATTCTCTCCTCATCCATAATTAAACTTCATTTATCCATTTATTGATAATAGTTTGGTGATAATTAAGTCAAAGAATTGATTTTGAGCTAAAGTTAGAGGTGTGTCATGTCTCAATGTATAAAAATGAGTTTTTATTACATTCACCGTTATTCACTGTATCTCCTTTTTATACCCTGGCTGTACTGTTTTCCCAATGGAGCCGTTAACACATATAGGCAGAGAAGGTCAGCAGCTGACTAATGCACATTACATCTTAATATTACCCACATGGATTCTCTTGTATAATTGAGTGTAATGAAATCTGTTGGCACCAGATCTTTTGAAGGGTGGTATGATCACAAAGATAATATTTGATCAGGCAAGGTCGCTTCCTGGTTTAATATTCTAATTGTGACCAAGATGACCCTGTCAGAGGAGTGCTAACACATATAATGAGGGAGACTAGAGCATGTGGATTGTGCTAGGATAAAGCACTATGGTTTGTTTGTTTATTTTGAGGGGGGATTAGTAGTGTTTGCAAGTTTATAATTTGAGCTAATGACAGAGGAGCATTAAATCAAGATAGCCATGGTTTTGATCGCACAAAACACCACAAAATGAAGACAATTAGCACCTAATGGGAACTTGTCAGACCCCATTTAAACCACAACTCAAACTGAGCCCTCCCACTGCAAAAGCCAAAAAAAAAATCCTGGCCACCCTGTGCTGAGAAACAGCTGACGCCGGCTGTCTCACTGGACTGCATGCTGCGAGATGGCTCCTTCTCCACTGGAAATAGATGAGAACCAAAGTTGGCACAGGCAAGGAGTGATAACAAGCAAACAAGAGGGGGGATAGTGTAAAGTGATAGAGTTTAAAACGGGAGAGGAGAAGAAGAGGGGAAATACAAGAAAGAGGAATGAGGGGGAAAGGGGTTCTAGTTATTTTAGAGGACGGGGAGATTAAGTGGAGTCATATCAGGTCGTATGCCTTCCAGAGACAGGACCCTGATCCTACTCACTTACTCCTCGCAGCAATGTTGCGTTAATCTTTCACAATATGTTCCTATTTCTAAGGAGATGTGTTTGAATTTATGTAATTTCTTGAAACTTGCGTTTTATTGAACGCAATTTCATGCAATCCAAGTGTTAAGGGTGTGCAGGTTTGGATGACTGTGTTTGTATCTGCCTGTAACAGAGTCAGAGTGAGTAGATAGAGGGCAGCTTATTGTAAGTAGAGCAAAAATAAAGTTCCCCTTGAGCAGTTAATAAAAGATGCTGCTAAAAAATGGACACTAGCTACTACTCTGACATGATATGAGAAAAAAAGATACAGCTGTTTTCCCGTTTTTTTCTCTCTCACGTGGTCCGCCTTATGAAAGATTGATGCTATTTGTGGAGTTTCTTAGCAGTGGCAGTTATGACACCTACATGCATGATACTCATGCACACATAAAGTAAGTGTCTGCGGAGGCTGTGCTGGTAAGGTATACGATGTAAAGATATTAACATGCAGTAAGGTCACATCTTGGCTCTAAATGCGAGAGTGGTTCCAGCATCGTCTCTGACAAATATAATTACACGAGCAGCCCTTTAGGAGTCTTTATCAGCTTTATCATGCATTTATGCAAAAATAACACACTTTCATTTGCATAATTACCTGCTGCACCATAACACAATATTGTTGCAGTGAAGGAGAAGGGCAAGAGCTTTGAAGTGCAGAGTCAGGCTTCTCAAAGCTGGTGATTGTTGCAGCCAACTGACACTAAAAACGGGGACATGGTGTACAGATGTCGTCAGTTTGTGAGAGTATCTAACCCAAATAGATAGATAGATAGACAGATAGACAGATAGATAGATAGATAGATAGATAGATAGATAGATAGTTAGATAGACAGACAAATAGATAGATAGATAGATAGATAGATAGATAGATAGATATTTTAATGGTATTTTAATGGACTAATTTATTCAGAACCTGGCTTGTTAATCACTGAGCCACAATCGTCCTGCAAACTCCACATATCTGCATGAGCGAGAAGCAGAAATTATTAGTAGTCAGTGCCATTCCTTTGTTCTGGGTTGTTTCTATTTTTAGCAGGCAGTGATGAAAAAATACTTCATACTGTACACAAGCTTCTAATTCATGAGAGAAATTTCATCGGTGTCAGAGTTAGAAATAGACCGTCATTTTGGGACTACGAAACCACGCAGTTTAACATGCAGGGACAGATAATTGGTGACACACTCAGAAGAAGGCAGGCGCTCAGGCAGGAGCTGTCCTTGGTGCTGAATCAGCCACCCATGCTTGGCTGCTGGTGCTCTCTGTGGACTGCTGTGTCTGTGTCTGGTGGCCTGTGGCTCCCAACCATTGTGTTACACTTCAGCACTGCTAGCTTATGAAATAGAATTTAATTTTTCTTTTTTTTTGCCACAGTTTTGAAAATAACATCTGTTTTCAGCGTTGGATTTGTGCCATGTTGAATTCAGCTCTTCATTTAGGTTGAGCTGTTTATTCAAGAATAAATGATGATGAAAAAAAAACAAAATAAAATGAAACAGCTGCTGTAGAGATTTTTTTTTTGTAGAAGAAGTAGATTTATTCAGTTTTCTAAGTTAGGCATAGTTCAAATGAGTCTGAATCTGGTGGCAGGAGTATGCTATTAAACTACCAACTCCATTGCATCACTATAAGGCATTGGAAATCACAAAAAATGCAAATGCCAATCTTGTCAATGATGGTGTTCTTTGATTTTTTTGCATCATAAAAAGGCATAAACATGAATTTTTGTAAGTTTCATTGATGTAAAAAGCTATCATAGGTATCAAACATGCAGAGTAACAGATAAAATCCAGCAGCAGGAGGATATAGTGTTGTTTGAAATAGCATTGCTTACACAAAGTATTGTAACATCATTAACTGTGGTGTAGGGGAGAGTGGAGTAAGATGAGCCATTTTTCTTATTTTGGATCACTACATCAAGTTAATCATAGTTTTGTCTCTAACTAGTGTATCTGCATATATTTTAGGGTGTTGTTCATCCCTGCAAACCAACAGAATGAGTGTAAACATAATTATCTTGATAATATAGCATGCCAAAAAAAACAACTTACCCCTTGTGTGGGGTAAGTTGACCATAGGAGCGGGGTAAATTGAGCTGTATCCCTCACTTTCTCTCTACCTGAATAACAGTCACTTCTTCACATTCATGTGTATTTTTATCTATTATACGCTATTCAACTGGCACAATATATATATATCTTTATTATTATTGTATATAACTGCCAAAAAGCTGTTTTGTAAAAAGCCATTTTAACATGAGAATCCAACCCAGGCCTCTTTTGTATGTGGATATAAATCGGATATGTATCCATTGTGACTGCAATGTGGACGCTCAGGTCGCGTTCATCCAACCTATACATCATCAATATGCGACAAACGTCACCATTGTTCGACAACACAAACAGGCGCAGAAAGCAATTTTTGCTTTGTGCGCATGCGGGTCACTTCACAGACGCATTCCGCTCACATTAGATGCCGCAGTTGTTGTTGTAATGTGAACGACCGCACAAAAAGATCGGATTTAACAAAAATCCGAAATTGTGCAAGGTAACCTGCAGTGTGAATGTAGCCATAGATACCACAATTGACATATAAAACAAATTTAAAATGATGTTCTTTGCTCTGAACACAATTCTAGTAAAATTTATGACCCACTAAATTCACTTTCAAGAGTGAAAAATTGTTTTGTTTTTTTTTTTGGAAAAAAAATGTCTTACCCCTTCACCTGTGTGCTTCTAACCTTCACAGACTCCATGAATTGATGCCCATCTCCCAAACATTTGGTCACATGATCAACTTCTTCTACCATTTCTAAGTAACAGGGCGTGGCTCAACTTACCCTTTGGCTCAACTTACCCCACTCTCCCCTACTGCATGACATAGACAACGACTTTAAAATTAAGCCTAAGACCTGTAAGGCTATTTCTCTCTCAACATTGTTTCCCGTGCCTGCCACCACAGAAGAAGTAGGTAGTAGAAGTACTTAGTTGTTATTCCGACCATGTAAATCTGTTCTAAAAGTTAAAGACGTACAATGCGTTTAATAAGTAAGCACAAAAAAATCACTCACCGCTTTAAAACCCTTCCTCCTGCTACTCGAGGCGTCATCATCTCTCAGCCAATCATAATGCGTCCCGTACGTCCCCGAGGTGTATTTTGGAAGTCTGGACCAATCAGAGCGAGTGAAGCGCTTTACCACGGCGAAATCAAAGTTGTTGTAAGAGCGCGTGTGTGTGCGCGAGGAGGGGATGAGAAATTGGCCGGTGGCTGAGAAAGAAGCGAGACAACAGAGAGGAGTGGACACCAAACCCACCGAGAGCGGCTATCGGACATTTTCACACTAGAAAAGACATTTAATCCGGTGTTTTCTGCGTTGACTCAGAGCGAAAAGAGAAAAGAAAAGAAGCTCGTTTCCCGAGGAATACCGCGTTTGACTTTAGAGCGGATTCACAGATGGATATTCCTGTTGAAAGATGACTTGACAATTAAAACTCTACCTCCTCTTCATGTACTGTAGCGATGTTTGAACCCCTCTCAGCATAGTTTTCTCCGTTTTTTCAGTCACCGTGGACTCAGTCGGGCTTTTTATTCATTTTGCTGTTGAAGGAAGAATTTCCAAGTCAAGATGACGGAAATCAGCGAAAAGGAGAATGAACCACAAAACCTTCATCGACCACAGGCTACCGTACCGAGCCAACCCGAATCCAAGGTAAGCACACACCTGAGTCTGAACAGGGTACTTTGGTTTATCATAAAACACACAAAAACGAGCAAAGTAACTCGCTCAGTAGGCAGCCTATTGATTAACATAGTTGCGACATTTTTAACCAAATATAGAGTAAGGATGAGGATTAATTTAATCGTCTTTAAATTGCTTATAAGTTGTTTATGTAGAGGCTAATTATGTTGTGGCCGCAGGTCTTGCGTAACAACTGTAAGCAGCTTTAATTCCTCCAACTACCCTCCTCTGAGGGTGAAAGGGCAGGGTTTATGTGAGGGTTTGCACGTTCGTCTGCTTTCAAAGGTATCTCCAGGAGCAAAAATATGAAGGCCAACTTTCAAGAATAGATAATGTCTTTGTCAAAGATCATAGAAGCCTTGAGTCTGAACCATTTGGGTCCTTGGCACACTTTCCCATGGGAAATCATTATGGCTATCCCATGACACAGGGAAGGCAAACTACTGGTCCCATATTCGTTTAATACTCAATTCCATCTTGCTGTAGGGTGCATACTTCTAGAAGCATCCTCACTTCATTTTTCACCTATGCACTGTAAGGGTTACTTGAGTAAATACACTTCTTGCAGCATCTTGCATTTGAAGTTCATGCTTTGATCATTGATATCAGATCCATTTCATATCTACTGTACCTAATTTATGCAGACAAGTAATGTATGGGCAACAAACACCATGTTTTCTGTTCCAGTCACAATCTAAAGATGCAAAATTCATACCTATTATAGATTTTCAACTCAGTTCCTCAACCGTTCATACATAATTTTCTTACCTTGCTACAGTAACATTAGCTATTCTTGGTAAAGTACTTTTTAAAACTGTTTATAGGTTAGTTGTGTCTTCTTGAAAACATGGAAGGGCTCCTTAGAGAATTTTCAGTAAGACATTATACTGTATTTCGTTCAGTTAATATTTAAAACATTCAATACAAACAAGGAAAAATCTCAAACATGTGAATGAAAAGGAGCAGAAAGAAGAAAAATCTTGTAAAGTCTGCCCCTCTTTCTTAAGTTATAAATCAACAAAACATATAATAAAAATAAATATAGGTAAGGCATGAGTTTAATGAACAATTTTAAAGTGCTAAATAAATTAATGAAGGTTTAAAAGCTACATTTTGACCCCCTTGTAGAAAAATAGTTGGTAAAACACATCCCGTCCCAAAAGTATGATGGTTCCAGTGTCGGTGCACACTACACAACACATTTTTCTCTTGGCCCCTGGAGTCCTTGGGCCTGAGGGCAGTTTCCTGATTTACTGTTTGATAGCAATCTAGAGTTGTGTAATCTTGCAGTATTTCCAAAAAGAAGGAATCAGTTGTTGCTGATGGATCTCTCTGGGTAAAACCGACTTTTCTCACCTATGCCACATGTCTCCTTTTGACCCAAATCTCAGCTCTGAGATTGCTCTAAATTGCACTCGCATTCATAACAAATCAATTTTGTTTCATCATAACTACAGTGACCTGGAACCAGCTTGGCAGTGACAAGTCTGTTGGACTACAGACTACACAATGGGTGGTGGGCGTTGAGGTGCAGCGTGAATTTATGGGCCAATCAGCTAGCAGATGTTTGCTGTGTCCTGCTACAGGCTGGGACATAATTCACACAAATGGCCATCCAGACAAAACAGAACTGGGAGGAAACAATACCTTGAGTTGCGTCAGCCGTTGAGCTCGGTGTTTGCCAAGCTCCTGCTGGCAGCATGGACCGCTCCACATCCTGCAGAAGAAAAGAAAAAAGGGGGGAAGGAGGAGGGGAAAGATTAAATGTGTTACAAACAGGGTCTCTTTTAGTGTAGTATGAATTAAGGGTATCTATCCGGCGTTACTCGTTCTGTTGCGTCACCCTGAATGCTCTCACTCCAGGGCATTGCTCTTTTCATGTCAAACTGTGCCCACTTTTTGCTTTCCCTGGTCAGCCATCATGTCTTCTTTTGTCTGCAGTCTTCCTCCCTGCTCATCAGCTCCTTCTCCTTCATCCCTTACTCTTTGTTTCACTCCTCTGTCCCTCAGCTCTAAGAGTATTTATTGCAGTGTTAAGTGGGCCCACCAGCTTTCGAGAGTGCTTCTAATAGAGGCTGTGACGGAGAATGAATAGTTATTCCACCTCCGCCACCTACGGGCAAGGTGATAAGTAAAATATTATTCCTCTTTAATCACCTGGAGCACATGCCATTCAAGTGTTGCATTTACTGAGTTGTGATGAGGTGACTGCTGATGAAAGCTAAGAGGGTGTAAAGAAATGGAAATAGTTCTTAAAGAGATAGTTGAACAAATGTGAAACAGGCTTGTTGATGTCATCCAATTAGGTTAAATCATGAGAGTATATAGTATACTGCTGTGGGGTGACGCAGCTCAAGGAAGAACATTTATGATCATTTCTTCATGGAAATGCAATCAGACTGAGACGCTAAGGCAGAAGAACTACCGCGTCTGCTGTGCAAAATGATTAACATGGTGATTATGACTTCAAGGAAATGATAAAGTAATGATCATAAACGTTCTTCCTTGAGCTGCGTCACCCCGCAGCAGTCCGAAATGGACTGGCCCAAGCCTTATGTTATGGTACAGAACACTTGTCCCCAAGACTGAAAAACAGGGTGAAGTTATCTTTGTCCAAAGGCAAAAACATCCTCCTCCTTTAGCATTCCCCTTTTTTCACATCCTAACTTATTCATTTAATCCATAGCCCTAAGTTTGCCTATTCTTGGTGCATTTGTGCCAGACTAATTCTTGGCCTGGAGCAGGTACTAGAAAAGCAGCAGAGACTCCGGGAAAGCAAAGGAATAATCCATTGCATTACCACTATTAAACCGATTTTTACATATTAACACTTCTATCTTTGTACATGTCGAGTGAATAGCAAACACTTCCTGAGCTTCAGAGGTTGTGGAGGTAGATTTTGACACCTTTGACTGAGCCAGAGCTGGCAGCTTTCCTCTGTTTACACTTTAAAAGCTAAGCTTTGCTAACTTGCTGATGTCTTTAGATCATTGTTTACCTTACAAACCTGAAAGTAGTATTGATCCCATTGTCCGCTTCTTGGCGCGGTAACAATCGAGGACGAGTCTTAAACCGTCAAACTTATTACTTGAAACTCTACAGTGTTCATTAGCAGGGGAAATGAGATTGTGCCCATCAGCTACACAAAGTTTATTTAAACAAAAGACAGTGGGTGTAAATGCTGATAATGCAAAGGGCTGCGGGGCCCCCACATGGTCCATTGCCCTCTCAGCAAACACAAAGACATTTTTATGAGGTGAAATGATGGCCACTGTTTCTCCCCGACTTTGCCCTTCAGAATCACTTTCTCAGCTATCGCCTTCTTTCTCTCGTTCGTCTTACCAACTTCCTTATCAGTCCTTAAACCTAATTAATTTCCTTTTTCTCCACTTAGAGTATGTATTTCCTTTTTCTTACTGACTGTGGCTCATTGAAAGGAAACCTAAAACCCTGTGTTTTTCCCACCCTCATTGCGCCTCTCCCTCTACTCACTTACTGCCTCTCCTTACCTCTTTCCTTTCCTTCATTTTCCTCTTAATCCATATCTCTGTGACTTTATGGTGAAGAAGCCTGAGTGCTCGAGGGATAAGAATAGCACTTTATGGAATAGGAGAGTAAGAGAGAAGGGTGGAGGGGGGGAAGTGGAGAAAAAATGGCAGAAATATAAGACTTTAACAGAAAAACAGAGGACTTGGGTCACGTGGTAATGTGAAAACAAAGTCTTATTTGATAAGTGATGGTCAACATTTTACTCGGTCAACTTCTGATTTCATATCAGGGGCTAACTTATCTTCTTTCATGAGCTTTCTGTGGATTAAATCTCAATTATCCGTGTGGTTTTCTGTTTGGATGACATTCCTGAACAAAGTGCATTCAGTCCCTCTGTTTTTGCTTCATCTGTGTCACTGTTAGCAGAACCACACATCACTCACTCATCTCATATGTGACAGGCTTTGATATGTTAGTGTTTCAGCTGCCAGAATGATTGACATGTGCTGCTGACCTTTGAAATAAAACTATAGTCTTCACAGAAAACAGATGACAGGGTTGGAAAGGGACCGAGACTTGAAAGTAGAAACAGGGTGAAATAGAAAATACACAGAGGACACCAAAATAGATTCAGTATGTTGGGCTCATGTGTTCAATGCTGACCTAGCTCTGTTTGTATTAATGATAAAGTCATCGAGTTACTGTCCTTCTTGAGTTCTTAAATGCTGCTGACTCGGCAGAGCCTCGTGTGTGGTGTCAGGGTGTGAGGGGAGCGGGACTTTGTTTAGTCCTCTGTTTTGTTCTGACCTTAGGCTTCTTTTCACTGAAGGTTATTTGTCCCCAAAAGGCAGGACTTCTGATGTAATGGTGCGGGTAAAATGACGTTTTATGAATAAAAGATGGCTCCGTTCTTCAATTCTGAATGGCAAGAAGAAAACGGAATAAAGCAACATTGATGTAACTCTTTTAACAACTCCTCAAAAGTGTTGAGCTTGTATATAATGTGACATGGAAAAGACAGTGAATTATTTAATAAGGTATAAAGTTGACTTATTCCTCCAAGATTAACACTTTGGTTCATCAACCAAACAACTCTTTCAACTCAAAGATCAATTAATTTCTCCTTCTTGTGATGTAAATACATCTGAACATACTTCAAAACATGATAAGGAAACTTGTGCTTCAATGAAAATAAAGATAATCCTCTTTTCTCTATTTTTAAATAAAAGATCTTGACATATAAAGGCAGTTAAGAAAACCTACAGCTGCTTGTCTTAAATAAGGTAATTGTGAAAGGCTTGTACGTTGATTAAAATAAACATTAGAGTCCCCTTGTTTTAAGGCCAGTAAATGGTGTTTTAATCTCCGTTTAATGTTAAGAGTAAGGCCATTAAGCCCTATTGGCTAATTAAAGGATAGCCAACTTCTAATGAGCACCCCTATGAGTGCTGTTGGTTTACCGTTGCGTGAAAATCAAAGATCCAATGTGGCAGTCACCTAATGCTAGCTGCTAAAGCTCCTTGTGGCGTTAAGCCTTCTAAATGTCTGGATTTGGAAATACAAGCTGCTTTCACCGCACACTCAGCCTGGCAGTCGTGAAATAGCAAACCCTTCACTCACGAGAAGCACTTCAAACAGCAGCTAGATGATTGGGACCCACACACAGCGCTGTGATTGCAACAATAGCAGGATGATAGAGGAGTAGGTTACCTGAATTTACATCAGTTTTTGTACCTCAGATATTCACATACCTATCTATTATGTCTATATTTCAGATCATGAAGTTATATATGGTTGTTTAGCTTTCTTATCTGGAAAATCCGCTAAATACACAATTGTTTTAGCATGTCCTACTATCTCTTGATGCTCACCATGACAGTAGTAGGTTTTGTAAAGCATTTGACATCAGCAAAGTGATAAAGGTCAGTGACAAATAAGGGTTTGCATCATGAGGAATTCAAATATTTTTTAGTAAACTGTTTTAAAAGTTTGCGATAGGTTTGCAAAAATGTATATTTTGTATCTCTGTAAGTTTCAAATAGCATTCAAACCTTTTTTTAATGCATGTTTTGGATGTTTTCCTGCTCCAACACACCTGATTCAAATGATTAGCTCGTTATTAAGCCATTCCAGAGCTTAATAACGAGCTGATCATTTGAATCAGGTGTGTTGGAGCAGGGAAAACATCCAAAACATGCAGGACGGGGGGGCTCGAGGACTGGACTTGAGAATGACTGACATAGCTGGACAAATGCTGAAAACTTTAGCCTAAAAATGTTTTCCTTTTTTGAACAAGTTGAAATATTTGATACTGTGTTTTTACTGTTACACCACATTGACATTTTCCCCATTGTTCCCGAAATATTCTCTCAAAATGGATAAAATCTGGAAATCCGGAAAGGTCTTCAAAAAGAGAATGTATCCCAAGTAATTAATGAGTTTATTTTTTAATTTTAGCTTTTTAAAATTTAAGTAAACCATGGGGACATAAAAAAAAAAACAGTTTGTTTAAATATCGGCTCCCTCTGTGGTTAAAGCAGTCTTTACTTATACCATCTTTTACCTACATGTACGCCAATTTTGACAGTTAAAAGTATCATTTATTGTGTAAAGTTTGGTAATAAATGTGAAAACGGGAATATTTCTTTAGCTGCTTGGCTGACACCTACTCATACCAGTTTTAGCCACTGTGAATTAAAAGATATGTTGTCACTGATGAGCTTATTTTATTCTGGATATCATGAAAAGGCATCAATATAAATTTTAGTCTACTTCAGTGATGTAAAAAAACTCATCGGAGCTTGAAGCAATCTAAAACTGTCACAGTTATCACATTACTCTATCAGAATGCCTGAACATCATGTTTCAAGACTTATTTTTAAGATACCTTTTAAAAAAAAAAAAGATAATTTCATCCTTAGAGAGAGAGAGCGTTTGTCTGCTTCGCACCCCTCCTGGAAGTTTTCTGTTGGACCCTTGCTTTATCAGCAGCGAGGCAGCCTGTGCAGTGAAGCATTACAAGTTTCCAGTTGCATAAAAGGTCGTTTCAGTAGGTGCACTTTTTACCGAACAGGGTCCAGCTGGAGCAGTGCCTAATGAGGTCATCTTTAATTCAATGCTTGGGTCCCTGCTAGAAGAATGCCAAAAATAATCAGGATCCTGTGTGCAATACTTTGAATATTACAAGCAGGCAGAGATGTCCGGAGAAAAAGCTCTGCAGTCGGCACGCTGACGCTACGTTGGACAAGTTTGACTTTGCTCAACCGTGTCCTGACTGCAGAAAAGTATTAGACAAATGGAAACTGGGAGGACCTGAATGAGAACTAAACTGCACATCTGAATCTGAATAGCATAACCTTCAACTGGAAATATGATAGCTTGCATCAATAAATACTGTGAGTATCATATTAATATAATGGAATAAAGACCAGTATGTTTACGTTTCTGTATGCAGCTGAAGTTTTCAATGACAGCTGACTTTAATGCAACCAATATACCTGTTTGTCTCGCTCATGCACTGTTCAAGGTCTTTACTAGATTCACTTTAAGGGCTCATCCAAACTAGGCCTATAAAAATAATGTAGTAAGTGCTTATGCAGGCTGTATTTTATGGCTTAAAGCATAGAGTTTAATATATCTGCACCCAGCATACCCAGGACTGATTCTTTAATGGGACTAGATGAAACGTGCCAACTTCACTGCAGCTAAAACTATAAACAAATGAGTGATGACAAGCTGTTACTATTTAGCATCTATACTCCTATAATTTAAATGTTCAAATTTAGCTCACCAGTTTATTACAGTTCCTCTGTGTTTACTCGGTCATTTATCAAACCACTTGCCACATTTTCATGATTTAGTGTGCTTAATGCTGTAAATTAAGTTTCTTTCAATAACTGCTGTGTATTCATGTTGTGTATGTTTATCTGATCACTACATGGCTTTATTTGGGATGTTAGTAATGAATTTTCTCTGGTGACACTTAATTTCCTTTAGTCACTCATTTTTTCTTTAATGAGCCTCCCTCTGCATCGTTATCTTACTTCTTTACTGTAAACAAAGACGGCATAGAAAAACCATAGCAGCTGCAGCAGGATGGGTTTACGCCTTTTACAGGCATCTCTCGTATGGACCCCCCTCCATCCTCTTAATCATTAATTTATCCAAGCATACCTCACAACAGTCTATTTTTAGACACTTTTCACCAAACATCTCTGTTCTCATTTTAAATCGCCAAAGAACAAGACTGTGAAGCCGGCTCTGTCTCTCCTCTGAACCTTTTCTTCTGTCAGGGTGTGATAGCAAAGTGACCTTATGCATCCTAGTGTGCTGCTTTCTATCATCTATTCTCTTCATGCTATCCCTGCATCCTTTACTTTCTTTTTAAAATCACTTCTCCCTCCTCAAACTACAGTCTGTTCTAGTGCACTACACTTCTGGCAATGTGATGAGCTAATTGCTGTCAGTAGTTCACAGTGTGATGGGTCCCCAGTTCTGTGATCTATAAATAGACGTTTCAAAACGTTACACAGAGACACAAGACTGCTGTGAAGGGAGGCAGAGATTTGCATTCGTTGGGAGGATGCTGTTCATTTCTGTTTTGTTTCCAGGGTGGCATGTTAGCTGAAACACAAGACACTGCTTGTCCTGAATCAGCTGATATGCTGTTGTAAGTTATTGGACGTAAGCAATGGATGGCACACACAAAAAGATAGGAGATAGTGAAGGGGGTATTTAATGTCCAGCATGATACCCTATCACCAAAATGTCAAGTGCATAAATATTTCCATAGTTTTAACTGTGTTGCAAATCAGTAATATTGAAATGACAAATGCATCTATTAACTGATGGTCTAAAAATAAAAAAGTCCAAATATGATCTTTAAAAACTCCTTAATCTGTGTGACGCTCAAGCTCAAACCCTTTTACTGGCAGTACAAGTTCCTCAGGCTCTTATCTTTTAAACCGGTCAGAATTAACTCACAGTGTCTTTAGTGTCGTATGTTTATTATAACACTTGCTAAATGAAGTACACAGTTATCTGCTGTTGGATGAAAGAAGAAGAGCCTATTGGATTATGTGGACAAGTTTATAAATGATTGATGGCTAGCACCTTAGAGCCAGTCAGTTAGAGAATTGTCACTCGGATAAACAAGTTATTATTTTTATTATTAGAATCCAGAAAAAACAGTGATGTTGCACCTAAGCTGTACATAGACTGTATATACTATGGACAACTTGGTTCCGCCTCCCGCCAGTATACGGATTTGAATTTCTAAAGTTTGTCCACAGCTCCATAAGCTTTGCTGGAGGAGACGGGATTTATGACCTATACTGCAGCCTGTCAACAGAGGGTGCTGTTCTTGGAGCGGCCTCACCCAGCGAGGAGGCAGACGCTGTCCATTCTCTATACAGTCTATGAAGCTGCAGAGCACTTACTTGCCTCAGTCAGGACTGTAGCTTTGGCCAATGCTCTAGCTCCTTTATGCACATAATCGCCAATGACAGCTGGCACAGCACAGTTTGGCATGATTTAGTGTGGAAAATGTAAGGTTGAATTTAGGGCGTGTCAAGTTAAAACGTAATATGACCACTCAGCAGGAGCAGTGAATAAGCTGCTGAGGCTAAAGGCTGATAATGTTCAATCTGTCAGTGTGAGCCATACTCAATTAGTTCATTTGATATTATTTAACTCCAAACACAGTGATTCTGTCTATAACCTTGTGCTCAATTTTAATTGTTTTCTGAGGGTTTTATTATTGGTATGCTGGTTCAATTGAATTTAAATTTCTGTTTCAATGATTGGAAAATTAGTCACTGTGGACAATTACAATGTGAGAGCTCCTTAAAGTGATTATTGAAGAGTTCATTTCAAAATCAATAGCCCTAGACTGAAGAGACAACGTTTTTGTATACTGGCTGTAGCTGTCCGTTCAATTTTAATGAGCTATTATCAGAAGGTAAAAACTCAGCTGTCTTTGGTGTAATTGTATAGACCGGCCTTGTAGCCCCATCATCCTGTTCATATCACCTCCAGTTCAGCTCAGGAGGATGTGATTTAGTGGTCATTATCGTTTATTTAAACCTATCGAGAATTACTACCAAACTTGTTTCACACGGTCAATTCCACATTAGCGTCACCCAGCTTCATTGTATATTATAACGCCTCACTGGCTTTTCTCTGTTTGATCATTACATTAAACCAATTTTAAATGGTCCGTGTTCGATAAATATTAATGGTTTACTTTGACCAGGAAGAGTTGTTGAGTTTTGGATGAGCTTAAAATCACCTCTTGGTACAGATCACTCAAGTTGAACTTCGCCGGTGTTATTAGTGACATAGAGGACCTTTCCCAGACTTTAACACACAGTTGAATGTATAGCTTTATCAAACATATCACTCTAGTCCACGAGTAATCTCTGCAATGCAGCTCCCAAAAACACCCGCGAAGCAACGCTGCAAACGGAAAGTGATGCCCATTTTTTTCTGTCCGTTTAGTGCACTTTATCTCGGCCTCATAATTGACTGTTAAAGTGCCCAGAGCAGTTGCCAAGCTGCAAAACTACATTGCATCTTTTACATTTAGGAAACAGTCATAAAACACTTTGTCCAGACTTCAAACAAGATGACAAATGTGCTGGTGTAGGTACAGGAACTGCTGAATAATAGATTTACTCATAAACACTGTAAAAACCATCCACTTAAATTAGATTTGTTCAACTGTTATTTATTGCTTTCATTAGTGCAGGTCTGTTGGTGATAAAAGGCTTTAATCAAAGTAAAACTGGGCGAACACAGAAGCCGAAACTCATGAAAGTCAGATTTCATTCAACACTATTGAATCCCTCTAAAATGCATTTAATCATTGAACTATCCACTTCTTTTATGCTTTGAAAACGTTTTATTTTGTCGTCACTCTGCGGCCTGGGAGGTATTTTAAGTGATTGATTTTCCGTTTTGTGTTACCTACTTTATCCCTAAAAGACATTGCTCCTTTTTTCTTGTGCAAAGACTTGCTTTCACCACCAAGAAGATTAACAAAGTCAGACAAGTTAAAAATCTAATAGAGGGGAACATCCATTACTGGATGGGCCACCAGTCGAGCCAAGGGGAGACCATTAAGGAAAGCATGGACTCAGCTCCCTGTAGAAAACATTTACGAGAGGCACTCACTAATGAGTCAACCAAGAGGACTCTTTTCATCACTCAAACTAATTGGCATCTGTGAATCTGTAGCTTTAAGAAGGAAAAAAGGAACCTGTTCGATGATATTGATTGAAAAGGAGTGGGATAGGTGATGCAGGGAATTGGAAGCTCAGAGGTCCACATCTCATGAAAACATACAGAATAACACACATAAAACATACATGTCAGTTTGTGTCTCTTGAATTCACAAATTGAAATCAGTACATTTGATTCAGATGCTGACAAAGACAGATAATGAGCTCAGTGTAGATTGAAAAGACACCTCTCACTAACAGGAATCTATTAACAACCTTGCCCTCATCCCCCAGGCCATTCTTTTGATGTATGAGTCCATAGCTGTTAGTATTTCCATATATTGGACCCCATTGCTCCTTACTCTCTGTAATTGATTTCATTACCAGCTCCCCTTTTGTTGTAGCAGAAAGTGGCAGATCGTAAGCATGGGGAAATGGAGGCAGGCGGAATGAAAAGATAAACACGGTGTTCGCTGCGCATCACTGACTGCATGATTTGCAGAGATGCAGGTCGCTCAATAAAACTAATCAAACGTGAATTTTAAGGGGGTATTGACGAGGAGGGATTAGCAGGGGATGGCAAATTTGTGAACTAAGGGAAAGGGTAAAAAAAAAAACAACTAAAGATGGAACATCAGAAGCCAGGCTGACAGGGCAAGGGCAGGCAGAGGGTAGAGCTAACAGACTGCTGTTTAACAAACTGATTTCTCAAACAATGCACATCCCCTCCAGCTGGACTCTCCGGGTTTGCCAATCTAAAGGCCACTGTTGCTGTTCCTACTTTAAAACTGCTGTATAGAGTAGCTGCGTTTACATGGGCACAAATAATCGGAATAAATGCCCGATCGATGGAAAAAAAGCAGCACTGTCATGACATTTTTGATGATGTTGTTTTTGTTGTTTTTTCTATTTTCCAGCTGCAGCGGTTGAAGCGCTCCTTATCCTTCAAAGCTGTCATGCGGAGCAAAAGTATGGACAACTTTTTCCAGCGCAGTAACGGCGATTCCCGCCTCCCCGCCGCCCTCATCTCTGTACCCCCACCTCCACCATCCCCTCCTCCCTTGTCCGAATCCCCCCTGGCCTATGAGCGCTCTCCCCCACATTCACCCTCTGTCAGTCCGAACGCCTCACTGTCATCGCACTCCCCGTCCATCAGTCCCTCGCTGTCAGTAACCTCAAAAGGCCAGCCAAAGTCTCAGGGCCAGCCAGTCAAGACTCACTATTTCCAGGAGCATGTCTTCCGTAGACCCACCAGCTGCCAGAGATGCAAACACATGATTCAAGGTAAGTCAGCTATTTGAAACAGAAAATAAATGTTTTCCAGTTTGGTAAATCTACTACCTTTTTGATATCATTGACAAACATCCTTAGTGTTACATCAGCTTCAAAGGGTTAGGTCACCTCACCGCAAACAATACATCCCTGTATTGAGCACTTGGTAAGGCTGTGGTTTGCGGTTCTCATGGGGTTAAAGATCTACGCTTGTTAGAATCCACAAATCTCACTGCGGACAACTTACAGCGGGTCCATTCCTCAAACAGGAAACCGTCTTCATTCAAACTATTGACAATCAGCTCTGACGACCAATCTTGTTAACATGCCTCCTCTGGGAGTTTGTACAGGCTTACAATTCACATGTGAAGAAGAGCAAAGCGCAACAGCTCAAGTGTTAAATAGAGAATCAAACACATGCGAACCTGTCAGCTTAATTTATTTTTAGACATCTCATTTTGTGTCTCTAATCTGGCTTTTCTGTACCTGTTTTACCTGCCCTGACAAATCAGTGCCTCTTATTAATAATATGTTGAAGAAAGAAGTCTGTCGAGAGTTCATCTGAGGCTGATGTAGACCTCTGGCTGCTTTCATATCAGGATCAGTTCAGGGTGGTGATGATTGAGTTGGGGGACCCACTTGGTGTGTCTAAATGTCTGATTGCCGGCCAAACTATCCCTCAGCCTTCTGACTGGTATTAATCAGTCCGGGTCAAGGTTAGGGCAGACTGTGCTTACTTTGACGATGTTCACACCAAGTGAAGGAGACTCCTTTTGTAACTAGGATTATTATCACCGAGGTTTATTCTGACCTGACCTAATTTACTCAGACAGGTGATGTCTTTGAGGCAACGTGTTGTTATGTGTATTATTGGAGTAGTTCTCTCTGCACTTAGAGACATTTGCCTGGGAGAAGAGCTGCAAAAATAGATTTAACGCACTGTACTTTATTTTGAGACACACAAACTAGACGTGTAAAAACATTTCATATGCACACCATGAAGCTTGTGTGTGTCAAAAGTGATGTGCTTCTTTACACAAGAGGTTTGGGTTCACAGCTTGCACATATCTGGGGCAACAAATGTTGTGCTAAAATATTTTTATGTTATTCAAACTTTTAAGGGTTTAATACAAAAACATTTACAGGGATGTCTTGAGTATTTAACAGTTCTGACAAGAACCTAAAGTATGATTTAAACCAGGGGTGGGCAATTAATTTTTACATGGGGCCACATGAGAAACCTGAACTTTGTTGGAGAGCCGAACCAATAATAACTTCAACTTCAAATCGAGGGGGGGTTCACACATACAGAAAAGCAACTACAAGTTAAAAACAAGACCAAAAAAGCGCACCCCCAACTCACAAGTTTTACAAGCGACTTCTGAGAGAAACAAGCCTAAAGTCGTTTAGAATAAGCAGACTGAGCAACTATAAGGCGTCTACGTATATTTTGCCGATGTTAAAACTTTTCTCTGTTCACGGATGCAGATCTTAGATGTACGCACGTGCATCCAAACGGGAATAAAACAACAGCTAGTTTTTCAAAATAAAAGCAACACACTTGTATAGCATGTTGGTGATTTGATTGACAGACCTCAGGAAGGGCCGAGCAGGGACATCCAAGGGGCCGGATGTGGCCCTTCGGGTCGTAAAATGCCCAAGTCTGATTTAAACAGTACAGCCCATAGAAGGCCTGTGATTACCTGTAATGGTATATCAAGAATTTGGTCTACTTTATTTTATCCTTATAACCCTGTCTGCTTCTGTTTGAGTGAATTGTATTTTTTTCTGTGCAGGGAACTCAAAGCAGGGGCTGCGTTGTAAAGCATGTAAGCTGGCAGCCCATCTCTGGTGCTCCTCTGAGCTCTCCCAGCAGCCTTGTAATGGCAAGGTAAGACCCGTCAGCAGATCTCACCTCAAGGAACTTTGCACCCAGAGTTGCACCACAGAGTCAATATAAAATACAGGTAACACTTTACAATAACCATAATTTATAAATGGTAAATAGATAGTTTATTAATGTTTAATCATTATTTAAAAACAGCAGATAGACCAATTATAAATGGCAAATAGATAATTTATTGATGTAAGTTACTTGACCATTAACAAGCAATGAAATTATGATAAATAATTTTGGACTAATGAACTATTTATTAAAGGTTTATAAAGGGTTTAAATATTGGTTGTAAAACATCTAGATTAAAATGTGTGTCAGTAGCACTTTGTAAATGGCTAATATTTAGTTTTTAAACCACCTATAAACATTACTTAGATGGTTATTGTAAAGGCAGGGTTAAAGTTAGGGTTAGGTTTTTAAAATTGTGAAATTTACAATTTATTAATGGTCTGTATCAGTGGTTCTCAAGTCCAGTCTTTGAGGCCCACTGTCCTGCATGTTTTGGATGTTTCCCTGCTCCAACACACCTGATTCAAATGATCAGCTCGTTATCAAGCTCTGTAATGGCTTAATAACGAGCTGATCATTTGAATCAGGTGTGTTGGAGCAGGGAAACATCCAAAACATGCAGGACAGTGGGCCTTGAGGACTGGACTTGAGAACCACTGCTCTATATGCTATTTATAAATGATGATTAAACATTAATAAACTATCTGCTTACCATTTATAAATGGTCTATTTACTATTTACAAATTATGGTAATTGTAAAGTGTTACCAAAATACATCACAACACAGGATTTCTTCACATCTGTGCATTCATTTGTTACCTTTCTACATGTAGCCTGGCTTTTCACTAGCGACTACTTTTGCCACATAGCTAATTACATTTTTACAGTTTGTGGATTTGTTTGCCAGTGTAAATGCGTGAGCTCTCCATAGGCCGCAGACTAACACGGACCGCATTGTGTCAGCAGAATTAAGCAGCATCTGGATCCTGTAATTGTCTCCCTCAGTCAGTTGGCACCGCCTTTAGTCCTGGTAATATGCTTAGCCTCAGAGCTCCCGTCTTGTTTAAAGAGGATAAAGCCATTTGCAAACCAGCAGAGACAAAAAGGTGGAGGTTATAAATGGGAAAGGGATTGACCAGAGCTTTGCGAAGTAGACTAAGACACTGGGTAACGTGTGAAAGGGGGTAGCAGTGGGATAAAATTATCTACAAACTTAAATGCCACATGAGAGACGAGAGCTGTTGAGGATGACACTTGTGATGTTGCAGCAGCCAGGTCCCAACATTTTTCCACTCAGCCTTTTCGCCCTTCCTCCCCGCATGTGTGGCTCGGTCCTCACTTTGTCTTCGCTTGTCTGGATGCAACATTTCCTTCCTACCCTCTCGACTCTGTTGGAAAATCAATATCTCTCTGTACCAGCTGGTCTGGCTAATTTACTGTGAAATTCAGTGTTTTTGAGGCGCACACAATCCCCTTGAGAATATGACATGGCAGGCTCTCGCCGAGCCCCTAGCAGTGTCCCTTTCGATCACTGCACACTCATCAGAGCAAGGATTGAGCATTTTACTGTATAACCAGTTCGAGTACAAGGCCACCTTTTGTGCTGCATAACTAACCTGTGTGTGTGTCATCCAAAGCCTCTGCAGACAAACAGATTGCTTGAGAAAAAAATCCTCTGAATGCTTTGGAAGATTTTTTTGTTTAAGTAGCTTAGTCCTCATTTTAAGCTTTGACATGAACACATATCTTGGAAAGAATATTACTCAGACTTTGAACAGGCAAATGTCCTGTTTTGATAAGTGACTGTCAAATCTATATGGACAGCATCATATGTCAAGTGTTATTTTTGGGGTGGCGGTTTGCAGAGAAGAAAAGCAGGCTCACTCTTGGGAGGACACAAGGCCAAGCAGAGCCGCTAGAGACGCTGCAGAGAGGAGAACAAACTGTCCAATGGTGGCAGGAGGATCAACCCAGAAAGTGTAGCTGATAATGAAAATATATAGCTGGCGAATTATGTCCTTCAAAAGCACCAGTGTTGCTGATGGTGGAGTATTTTCCATCACAAGAGCAGCAGGAAGCAAGAGGATCCTCCAACAGCTTAACTAAGAGGGACAAAATAACGTGACTAAAAAGGTATTTGGCTCTGAACTTGACCAGACCAGACAGACCTACATGTTTCATATGTATGAGCAGCTTTTCCCTTAAATTTATTATACTTATCTCAACAAATATCAGTATTGACTGGAAAGAGGTTAAAATGACCAAACCAGACTTGCAGATTTAAATATTTTTGTGACTCCAAAAAAAAAAAAACTGGTTCATGATTCAAAACTGTTTTGTAAGAGGATACAGTTGGTACAAAAAGTATTTAATCAATCTAATATAATGGCACCCCATCTTCATCAACTGCATCATTAAAATTCACTTTTCTGTGAATATTGGGACCTAATTTTAAACACCATGAAGCATAACCATTACCTTCCTTCTTCAATGTTTGACTTCTCCATGGAGACTTTGTGCAGAGTAGTACTTCTAAATGATCTGTAATTCTTCAACAGCTGGTCAATCTTAACAATTTATCTGTAAGAAGTGATTTAGCATAACTCGTACAAATGTTTTTGTAATCAAGTGAAAAACTGAATAAAAATGGAAAATAGATAACTGCTATTTATCAGTCCCTCTCACTGAAATCTATTTCCTGAGCGCACTCATATATGTCCAAATTTAAGATTATTCCCCAGATTCAAGCAGCTTTAAATGACTTTGGAATCATGACAGCATTTCGCTGATCAGTGTTAATTGAACTTCGAGATGTATTGCAGTTTGATTAAAGAAATGTGCCTTCTGAGCTCTGCACAAAATAATTGATTCTGCAGGAAATTTTAACACACACACACACTGTGACATACACACTCATCTCCAAGAGTGTCCTGTAAGTTTTCTGCTCTCTGATACTTTAGTAAGTCCACCACTTTCCAAAAATCTACAGCCCCTCCATGAATTGGCATTTGACTAACTACATACTAAACTATTAAAAAGAAAAGTCAGTCTGTTTTTGTTCTGTCTTTGTGAAATGAATATCTTTGGGGGTTTGGATTGTCTCAGATTTTGGATTATCCTGTTACAAAAGAAGTTTAATGGCATCATCTCAGACTGCGAGGAGTTGTGTCCAATTCCACTCTCAGATAATTCAGTTCATTTTTCAAGGACATGGTGTATTATTAATGAACTTGAAAGTGGAAAACAGCCTGATATATAACATATTCATCAGCACATCTTTTTATCCTGTAATGTCAGAGCAGCGGTGACAGCTCTTTTCTGTAAACAAGCGTAAGAATTGGACCGTCAGCCGACTCACTCAAAGCGATGTCTCACTTCTGGATGACCTCTGTCCTTTTCAGAAAACCGACATTTACAGGAGCTGCCAAAATGTTGGAGCAGTCACACTGATTTCTTCCCCTTAGATATAAATATACTCTTTTAACCAAAACTGTAGGACACATTTGCTCATAGGAGAGTCGTCAATACCTTTAATATTTCAACTTTATACAATGACATTACAATAGGTATAATAATTAGCCATGATGAGCCGTTGTGTTTTTATACATTTTCTTTATAATAATAGAATGTTAGGTTGTTGACCAGCAGAGTATGTTGACAGAGTTAAGTAGTGCAGATGCTGAAAGCACTGCAGAACAACAGGAAATAAAGCTCAAGATATTTTTCTGGCACTCATTTTCTTTGAGCAAATATCACTTTGTATGAAACACATGAAAAGACATGTGTGGATTAAAGAAATCTAAATTTAAAAGCTGTTTCAAGTTGAAAGACGGTGCGTCAAAGTCTCTGTCAGATTGTCTTCTTTGTAATTTCATCCCTTTGACTGATGAGTCAAAAACAATAGCTAGACATATTTCTTCTGCTAAATAAAGAACCACAATCAGATATCAAAGTTGTACAGTACGAGGCCTGCACTGTCTTAATGTCTACAGTTTGACAGAAACAGACCTTCATGAAACTTCAAACCCTGTGGATGAATTAGCTTGAATGTAAAAAGAAGTAATGTCATACGCCATTAGATAAATAGAGGTGTTGAGGGACACTGAAGAATCTGCAGGTTAAAACTAATGGAGAGCAACAAATAGGCTCCATCAGTGGACAGTAACAGAGTTTATGCAGTGCAGCAGGAGATCAGATTCACATTTAAGCTAAAAGGGATTTATTCACTTTCTTTAGCACCATACAGTGATCACATATGCATTTTTGTCAAGGTGATATTTCAGAAGATGAACACTGAGCCACCACCTCTGATAAGTCATTTTATATTAGTTTTATCCACCTACAGTCCATAAACTACAATTCCCAAAATGCAGCTTGGTATCCAAATGTGAAACAATGATTTTAATGTCACCCAAAAGAAAAACTACCCTTGCAACTTTTGAGCGCTTTACAATGCAGCTATACAATATGTGTCTGCACAATGCTCCCTCAATTCCAGGTGTATCATTAATTTCAGGGAGGGATGATATCAGCATAAAACCAGACTATGCAGATTAAAGTTTAAAAGTAAAATATTAGTTTCAGCAGATATAAAAAGTTACTCCAGTTTGCAAGGTGATGCATTAATCATGTGCACACAGTAACAGCTTACGAACACCATTGTACCTTGACACGTCAGAAACAGATATTAAAATCACTATTTGCAGTGCTTGTAAAGTATGGTTAATAATGGGAGTTACAAAACAACACTCCTGAAAAGGAAGCTAGAAAAGAAAACATTAGCACCAGCAAAAACCTGTTGGCAGCCTCGACTTCAGTCATTTGACGACGCTAGGAAATAAAACCATGCAAAGGTAAGGGAGCCTGACAAGAATATCATTGAATTCACTTTTCTCAGCTGGCATTTTAGCATGGAGGAAGATGAGGACTAATGACACAAATGATTGGATTGGTATCAGTATTGGTATCGGTGATGGCCGACAAGAATTTTAAAATACTGCCATGTAAATCCAACTTTGCGTAGCCCTAATTTTGGAGCACAAAAATAAAAGCTGTTGTTTCAAGATAAATGATGAATAGATGTCCTATTTTTACACTGTTGCATACAGATTATCAGGGGTCATTTTCATCATGTGCGGTAAATATTTGTACATGTTTTTGGAGGGAGTTTTTTTTGCCCACAGTCGTGGACAGATACCATCAATGCACAACTTTGGATAAGGCAGAGACAGATATGCAAACATGAGCGAGAATTTTGCCTTCTTATCTTCACTGCATAGATTTTCTTTGTGTTTCTGTACAGTTTAGATTGAATTATACATAGCTAATTATGTTTTATAATGATCAGGAACACAAAATTACACACGTCTGCAATACATTTTAGTTGAGCTTAGTTGCTGGAAGAACACCAGCTTGACCCCTGCAGATACTCAGGTTTCACTGCACGTACTGCGGGTCCACCTTCCCCTCATGAAACCGCACAAGTATTGTCTTACAGCAGATATCAGGTATGCTCTATATCATTTTCCAACTTCAGGTAACACTTCTCCCCCTCTTGTCCTTCCTCTCCTGTCTCCTGTTCTCTCTGTCGGCCTCTCAGTCAGGCGCTTTTAAGAGGAACTTCAGCTCTCCTCTGCTCACCACCGATCAGCTGGGTGTGGTCAGAGAGGCTCCAGCTGCACAGGGTGAGTGATGGAAACACAGAGCTGATTTCTTACGGCACCAAACAGCTGTAATCTCAAGATGACTGATGACCGTGTCAGTGGCCTTCAGTCCTTGACGGCTGACAGGCCAGTATGTGTGTCTGCTGATGTGTGTGTGCCAGGGATGTGTCAGCTATAAAACTGCACATGTTTTGCTTTGTTCTGTCTTGTCTGTCCGTGTGTAGAGGCAGATAATAGTGTTGTTGACCCTGTGTATGAGGCACTGCGCTATGGGACGTCTCTGGCTCAGATGAGCCGCTCAAGCTTCAGCAGTATCTCAGAATCACCGTGTCATGAGGTACAAAAACACACAGAAAACACACAGACAGCCTTTGTCACTCATAAAAATTAATGTTGACATTAATCATATTGCTGAATTTTCCCTCTGCAATCTTTTCTCTGGTACAGGAAAAACATCAGGACAAACTAGAAAACCAGCCGATAGCTGAAGAGGAACAAATACCAGGAAGTATGTGTCTTTTTTTTATGTGAAGTTCTATTATTTCAACAGCTTCAAGAATCACAATCTAGCTCTTTAGGTCAAAATCAAACTCGCCCAGTAAGATGAGTGTTTGGTACGCCAGGATGTGTTGGGTCAGTGCGAGTGACATATTCACTAAGATGAAATCTGTGGCTGTATCAGATTCTGCTGGGGCATGGCGATGTTATTCATAAGTCTTCTTCAATATTGAATCAAACAGGAAACCATCAGTCTTTCATTTTGGTGGAGTGGTGCAAAAACATGATCAGAGAGAAAATGTCATTCTTCCAGGTTGATAAAATGTTCTGCATTTTTAACCCTTGTGTAACGCTGTGGCTAAAATCAGCCACTAGGGGCAGAATTTAACCACTAATTTCCACGTAACTTTTTTTTTTTTACTGCAGCAAATGGGATGATTTTTTGTGCAGATGTTTATATTGATGGACACTTTGAGAATATGACTTCAAAATTTTCACCAGGTCAAAAATACACGCTAGGCAAATTTTCATCCGTTGTTAACGCTCAGTGGCTAAAAAAAGCCACTAACTGCTGTAAAAACATATTGGGTTAATATTTTTTTCCAATTTTTTTCACAATTCTCTTAATTAACTTCTGCTTTGATCAAAAACATAATGTCACTGATATGGTAGAAAATAAATCTTATAAAAATCAGTCATTTTCCTCCCATTTTTTCCCAATATTAGTGACTTTATGTTTTAAGTGGATCCTTAAAGTGTTAAAATTTGGATTCTCAATGAAACATTTACTAGTTTTAAATAGAGCAGAAGTTAATTAATAGATATATTTAAAAAAAATCTGGAAAAAATATGAATCCAATATGTTTTTACTGCAATCAATATCAGTGGCTGTTTTCAGTCAGTGAGCGTTAAGAGCGGATGTAAATCTAAGGGTTACACAAAGCTTGTCTCTGCAGTTTTCACTAAAAGTTAGTCAAGTTTGTTAGTTTGTTTTCGCCCACATGTCTGTACAATTTATATGAGGCCACCACTCGTAGGCGGTTAGTTCAGCCAACCTGCGCCTTTTGTGGGAACTCTTGGCATCCATGTAAAAAACAAACAAACATCTGCAAACACTCCAGCCAAGAATCTGTGTTTACCTGATAATGATGCTGCACCTGTTGCAGGGAAATGGGATTCAGTCTGTTTTAAAATGTTTCACTGAATATCCAACAATCACAACAGTTGACTCACATGTGGACCAGAATACCTGAGACAGCCGTATAAGAGGGTTCATATTTAACATGAGATGTTACACTTAAATCAGAGCATTAACAGAAAGCACTCACTGGAGGACCTCTATCTCTCTCTCCAATCACCACATTAAAATCATAGATACAAACTAGCGCTGTCGCAGTATATCGGCAATGACAGTAACAGTCTTTACTAATTATTAAATATTGATTACTGAAAACTAGCAACTGGTAATACCAAAAGTTCAAAGAGTTGGTCCTTGGTACCGGTAGCCATACATATAGTGGGGGAGCAACAGAGCAGACTGTCTGTGAACTAATGTAACTCATTTGTTTTATGGTTGTTTATATAGAGGTACATTTTGGAGAGAACCGGAGAACTATGTACAATATAAAACAAAACATAAAATCAACATTGAAGGGAAGAACATTATTACTTATTTTGAATTCAAAGCCTGTGTGTGGCTTTTCAGGGAGGGCATGGCAGGATCCACCGCAAGGGAGCTTTTTAGAGTGGCGAGAGGAAGAAGAAAGTTAGGTTGATGAGGGTAGAGCTTTGCCAGCAGCAGAGTATGAGCAACATTTGGCCAAGCAGGGGTTTGTGAGAAGGAGGATGTGTTTCGATTGATTACTCTGTTGTAAGAATAGGCTGTGATTGATTTGAGGGTGATTGGAGACGATAACTCGAGCAGCAGCCTGTCAGCAGATTAAAGCAGCGGTCTCTGACTTCTCTGTCCTGCTTGAACTGACACTTAGCTTTATACTGTAGGCTAAAATTTTAAACTGGTAATCTAGACGTCATTTTAACTGGGCCAAAATGGTCTTGGCTGATCATCAACATGCTGATTAAACTTTTGTGAAAGGCAAACTCATTAATGCTGAAGAAAAGTCTCGGTTTATATCAACAGAACCTCTGTGGGGGATGTTTCCCGATGTAACTCAATCATGCCAAGAAAACTCTGAGCTGACTGTCAGGACTTTGGAGACATATATTAACATGAGACACACTATCCTATTGGACTTGTGCCTGAGTATGAGTGTGTGTGTTCTCTGCAGTACTTTAACCTCTCTGTCTTTAGTCCCAGGGGAAGGGATCATCTCTGTTTGCACGGCTGCCACTTTAAAGTAAATGACCTTGGCTTCAGCCTTCCCTCTGCTCGCTGCAAACTGACAAGACCTCTCTCTCTCTCTGTACCCCTCCCCTTTTCTCTTTCCCCTTTCACCCAAACTTTTTATCCACTTTACACCCCCTCCCACCCCCAATTTCTGCCTCACATACTCGCTCTCCTCTCCCTGTCTCTTTGTGTTCCCGCATCTGTCTCTCCAGTGCTCACCCCTCCTGAAAGCGAGAAGGCTGATTCAGAAGACAGAGTCAGCCTGAAGGTGTGTAGTCAGCATTCCTCTCTTCTTTCCTTTTCCTTTTCGTGAAAATTCACTCTGTCAGCCCCCTTCAAACTTCATATTAATTTCTTTCAGTTTTTGGAAATCCACAGGAGAAACACTGAGATAAAAACCTCATTTATTTCTGTTCTCTCTCTTCCTCCACTCCTGTTTTTTTTTTCAGACTCCTAAGAGAGTAGAGGTTCACTCCATCCACACCTATGTGGCTCTCTACAAGTTTCTGCCTCAGGAGAAGAACGACTTGGAGCTGCAGTCAGTTAATTTTCTTTATATACACTATTGGAATGAGTGATTGGATGACAGAAGAGAAAGCATGTACCTGGCCAAAATATTACTACTAATATTCACACGCCATCTGCCGCCTCAGCAGGATGATAGTAGGGGGTTTCAGGACTTTGATGGGAGGGGGGCATGCTGCGAGGCCAGGAAAAACAGGCAGCTACACCGAGTGTGTGACATTTACAAAGAGTCTGTGTATGTGAGCGAGTACAAGAAAGTGCTGAGTCTGGTGTAATGATCATCCATAATCTATAGGATGCAACTGTGTAAGGATACAACAATGAAGTATTCATGTTTTATTTGTAAAATATCTGCTCTATTGCGCAATAACAATTTCTGTATGCACTTGAAAAGATTTTATTAAACAGATTTTTATTTAATGTGACTCAGAACTAAAGAGGGACCTTTTTAGAAAGCTGTCAAAATACCAATAAAGGGTGCTCCAAGTTATGACTGGGAACATTGTGCTGATATATTGACTAATGTTTCCAATGAAGGATCAAATTTAGCAAAAAAAGCTTTTTGTGCAGGTCACGTTAAGAAGATATCACCACTTTTCTGTCTTTAACAAAGAGACTAAAAATAAAGTAACAGCTAGTCTGGTCCCAGCCTGGAACAACAAAAACACATCTTTTCATTGTTAGATTTCGTGCTCAACCGATATTCGTTTTTTAACAGCAGATACCGATTATGAGACAGTGTGTTGGCTTATATTGTTTGTTTGTTTGTTTATTATGGATTCCCATTAGTTCTGACCGTAGTCAGGACTATTCTTCCTGGGGTCCAGACACTGATACACAACAGTCAATACGTAGAACAATGAATTACAGTCAATAAATAGTACAATGAATAACAGACGGCCATCAAACCATCCATTTTCTACCGCTTATTTCTATTCCTGGGGTCGCTGGAGCCTATCTCAGCATCTTTCGAAAAGTTCATCGCAGGGCTGACATATAGAGACGAACAATCATCCACGCTCACAATCACACCTATGGGCAATTTGAAAGTGGCCAATTAACCTAACCCCACTTAGGCGTGTTTTGGGGATGTGGGAGGTAACCGGAGTACCTGGAGTAAACCCACATAGACACAGGGAGAACATGCAAACTCTACACAGAAACGCCCTTAGACGGATTCAAACCCAGTACCTTCTTGCTGTGAGGAGACAGTGCTGACCGCTACACCACTGTGCCGTCCTGAATTACAGACAATAAAATACAATTATGTTAATAAAAATGGACAAATGCAAAACAACCTTTAGTTTTCAAAACCTAGAAAAGTAGAATTTCCTCTGTAGTTTTCTTTTTGATTCTCCATTTGCTTTCAGTATTAATCATATGTGGTGGAAGCCGATTCCAATATTTCACTGCTCTATACAGTACAGTTCTCTTTAGAGCCTCTGTTCTTGGTGAAATAAGCGCTGAAGGCATGCCTGGTAACATAGCCATGCATATTGTTAGTAGCCTGAAGCTGCAGCACTAGATTAATAGGTTTTCTCTCATGATAAATATTAAACAAAAATGTGACCAAACTATAAGCAAGTCTTTGCTCGCCTGTCATCCAAGACAGTGCTCCATGCATCCCTTCTACACTCCTCCTCCCTGAGCAGCGGAGAGCTTGTCATGCTGCTCTAAGCTATATCTTATATTCTTATCTTATATTTGTGTTTATCTTGGCCAGTAGTACGGTCCAGATGTTAAAACACAAATACATTGTGTTATCCAGCAGGTACAGACATTTAACAATTTGGCTCTCATCTCCTCTTGTCCACATGTCAAAGTGTCCTCAGGCAAAACACAGATCCTTAAATTATTCCAAATGACCAGCACACAGCGAGCTGGCAGCAGAGTGTGCAGTAACGGTTGAATGAGCTGCATAAACCCTGTAAAGCACTTTGGGTAAAAGCTTTTCTTTTCTTTTCCAGGCCCGGCGACAGAGTCCAAGTCACAGATGACTCCAACGAGGACTGGTGGAAGGTAAGCTGTGCTCAAAAAACCCACTCACCACTGCACCACAGTAATGTGCTGTGGGATGGTTACACATTCAAAACAACCATTATTCTCTGTATCTTTCTATCAGGGAGATAAAATGTCTCCAGGATGAACATCTCCTGATTGCTTTTGAGTTATATTACAATCACATATATGCACATTTTCAGTAAGACGACTGTGGAGGCAGTAAGACCAAAGAGCTGAAGGATGTGCTTGAAGGATGGCAGATGTGGGTGTTAGCAGAGATTTGTTACCGCGATCAGAAAAAGAGGAAGAAGACAGATTGCAGTGTGTGTTTAATGAGGCAGTTGAAGATCTTAACCTTCACCTGCTGAAGGACAGATAAGCCGATACATAATGAACCACCAAGTATCAGATATCAGCTACAGTAGAAAGACTGCAGAGTTACCATGTTGATATAGCTTATAATGATATGAAGCTAAGTCAGGGTTTGAGGTGGTTCAGTTAAATCACACATAGAGCTGTTTTTTAGGACCAAGACTTGTGAAACAACTTGAATCAGGACTTGTTTGAATGCAGGGTTCCTATGCAAGTATGGAAAAGTATGGAAGTAATTCGATCAATTTTCAGGTCTTAAAAAGTATGGTAAATGAAAAATAAAGTACGGAAAAATATTTAGGTTTCTAGACTATTACCACAGTAAAAAAACTAGTGTTTTCTAAAATAGAAAAGTAGATATTTCCAAAAGTAATTCTAAAAAGTAGGGTATGGAGAAGTATGGAAATTCCAACTGTGTAGGAACCCTGTGAATGAGAGGAGGACTCGTACAAAAAACGAGTCCTCCATCAGTAAATAAATCTAAGGACCTAAATCCAGAGCTAGAACTTGGATGTGTGTTTATGTGCTGGCTTGTGTAGCAACAGTTCGTACCTGGAAGGCGTGCCTCATATCTTGAGTTTTCCTTTTACAGGTTGAACATCAAATGTAAACAAAGCCGTGCTGCTTGTTTAATATGTAAAAGAACCATAAAGAATAGGGATGCACCGATCCGATATTTGATATCGGTATCTGTCCTGATACTGAAGAAAATTCTATATCGGATATCGTGACAATGGGCCCAATGCAAATGGGCCAATGTATTCAGTCCAACTCTATGCTGTGCGCTGTGAGTGGCATCAACAAGTTAACACGCTGTTTTCAAAATGGAGTGAGCAAAGGGGTCTGCAAGCTTACACTTTATCACAGTACCTCAGCCTACAAGCTTGATGGCCACTTGCAATACCTGTGCAGTAAACACTCTGAGGGGCAGTGGTAAAACTTAAAGTTACAACAAAAGGTAATTCATTGCGGCTTTTCTGTATCTTGGATCGGTATCGGCCAATACTAAACTATAGATATCTGTATCAGTATCGGAGGTGAAAAAAGCGTATCGGTGCATCCCTAACAAAGAAAACAGAAACAAGCTAAACTTTAAATGACACATATCAAGAACAAAGTAAGCAAGCTGCTGTAGTTAGTTAGAGCAACTAACTAAGCAAACTGGACTGTTGATTAAATTACTGTTAGCGCTCCAATGGTAATCTTGGCGACTCAACCTCTGAGTCTAAGATGTTTGGTTCGTTAAAATTCATACTACAAGTGGATGTGCTGCATGTATTCCTTTATGAGACATTTGCAGTCATCCCACTTCACCACCACTGTACGTGTCCCCATTAATAAAAAGAGGTGCGCAATACACAGCACTGTAGCTTCAATGATCATTAAAATCTCAAGACACGCTGACAAGATCAGTCACATTAGATTATTTATGCTTGTAATGTTAATAAATTAAACCTGTTTTCTTCTCACCTAAAAGATCCCTCAGATCAGTCAAGGTTCATACAGTAAAACAGCAGTTCTCCTTATAATAAATAATAACATCAAGGGTGAGGACTTATATTAGATTCATATCTTGAGATATGAGATGCGACTCACGCTTGAAATCTATTGATTCAGCTACAGCGCTGGCTAAGGGTATCTAGAGGTTTTGTTTGATGGCAGCTCCGCTAACACTTCCATTGTGATTATATGACAAAATCAGGAGTATCTGTGCTGAAGTGTTCATAGTGGAGGCAGAAAGTGTCTACTGTTTCAATAGGTGAGGATAATATTTAAATGAAGAGTTAAATGATATTGTATGTTACAACTAAAAAATCAAATGTGTAATATAGTACTGAGGCTCATTTCTATTCAAGGGACACTTCATCTCAAAAAACTGTCAATTAGGGGCCTCCATCCTGACACTTTATAGTAAACAGGCCTTTTCTAAATGTCAGCATCCAGACATGAGCAAAATGGTTAAGTAGACGCCTGTGGTTTTGTGTCTGTATGTGTTTAAGCCGGAGTCTCTGTGAAAAATGGTGTGTTTTTATTTTTGTTTTTACTCTGTTACTAAAGTTGCTCATCAGAAAACAAATAATGTGTGTTATAGTCGCATTTATTTGCTTATTGTAACAAATTTCCAACTCCCGTTTAATCCTGATGCCTATTTGGGCAGCTGGTCAAGCAAACCAAAGTGAAAATACAAAAGTATCTAATTGGATCCTCTCTGCCAAGGACTGTCAAGGACTGTAGTGGAGGCTGACTGTGTTGGATTTGCTCTCTCCCTCTCTCTCTCTGTGTTGAGACATCAGCGGTCCAATGATTGAAATGCGGTTGTGGGTTTTTTTGGCAATAACGCAGCAAATTGTGGCCGCATTGAGTAGAAATGTAACTGAAAAACAAGAGGAGTCAGCATCATAGATTTTTCTACTACAAGCAATTCAGGCTGCCTCAGAACGAGACATGAAATATCTATTTTTAACTTTCAAAGACTAACAGACTGTGTGTGTTCGTGTGTGTGTGTGTGTGTGTGTTTGTGTGTTTACCAGGGGAAAAGCAGAGACAAGGTAGGATTGTTCCCAGCCAACTTTGTGCAGCGGGTCCGTCCTGGTGAGCGGGTGTGGAAGGTCACAACTGGTTTCCATGGCAACCGCGACAAAGGCCAGATGACTGTGAAAGAGGCCCAGGTGAGTACACACATAATTTGCACACAACTGTCTCTCTCTCTCTCACTCTCTCTCATACACACACATACAGAATTAACATATGTAAATTCATGCAAAAAAGTGCTGAGATTACAGAGGACAGCATGTTAGGGCCTCAGTCCACAAACTCTTGTCACATTTCTGAATGTCACTCGCTCCTCCCCCTGCTCCACACCCCGTCCCTCCCTCCCTTACCACTTCTCTCCCACACCTACCCTTCCTAACTGCAGATCTGTGTGGGTAAAAATGAGGATGTCGACGGTTTTCTCCGGCTGAGCAGCGGGAAGAAGAGAGGCTTGGTCCCTGTGAAGTGTCTGCTAGAAATTTGATGACAGCCATCTACTCCTTGACCCTCAGTTTTTTAGAAAGAAGTCCACAATGACGGAGGAATACTCAGGAGTGTTTACCCGACACCTCACTGACCACCAACCACCCACCTCCGCCCACCTCCAAAAACCCTGGCTTTGGATTAGCACACACAACTTTGCTTTTCACTGCAGAAGATCTGAAAGGTTAAAGGAAGGACGGGAGGGGGTTCGTCAATTTTTTAGAGCTACTTTTCTTGTAGCACAACTTGACTTTGTGTGGTTTTAAACACACTCACAACAGCTATGTAGCATAACCTTGGAGAGGATAGTGTGCAGGAAGTCTGGCTACCTCACTAGCCATTTCCTTTGGCCATTTGTATGAAAACGGGGACTTCTTTACCATGATGTCAAGGCCTGAAAAGGAACTTTATGAGCAAAATGTCTTCATGTTATTGTTTGTGTAGCAAAAACAAGACATAAATGATTGTGAAAGATTGTAGCTGTTCATTGTTGTAGCTTGTCCAAACACCTTTTGATCGACTGATTTGAACCCAACTAAACAATGAAGATCCGGCTCACAATGAGCACTTAAATCTAGACTGAATAAGCGTGTATCCAAAACCAGTCTTCTCTTTCACATCTTGGTCAAATGAAAGTCAAAACATACCCCTCTCCTCCACACACACACACACACCCTGGGTATTACGGTACATTTGTGCTCTTCACAGCTCTGATGTGACAAATGCTTTGTGCGCACCTGAGGGAGCCTCTCTCTCAATACGCCCCTCAATCACACCCCCTTTTACACACGCTAACACACATTGATTTTATATTTATAGTCCACTTTGCTCCTGCAACTCTAAAATCAGCCACTGGAATCTACTTCCTGTCTCTTTCTCAGCGTTGTTTATTATCCGTACGTTATGTCCTGTAATATTCACTGTCAAATGTCTTGACGTCGCCGGTGTACTCGCATTTCTCGCATGAAAGAGCAGAGCAAAGAAACGCCGTAATTAAGGTTGATGGGTAAAAATCCAACCTCTGTGTTTTTGTCCGAAATGTGATGAAGGTTGCTAAACTTTGAGTCTCTCAGAGGGTTGTGTTCCAGCTGTCAAAGATGGGATGAATTTTTGATGAATGGCTGAATTAGAATTGCTTTTAGGCCACTCTCAGACTCTGTTTATGTTGCTGTTATTTAAGGTGATAAAAGGCAAATCTAGGGCACATCGTTTTGATTTATTGCTCTGTCACCATAAACCATAGAGCAGTGACAAACTGCATTTGTTACGGCAATAAATGTAAATAAAAAAAGTCATAATTTGTAAATAGCCTTATGAATATACTGTATATACTGGCTCTGAAAAGCATTCTGACCTAGAGGTTTGCAGCTGTCCAAGAGCCAACTAAGGGCATTAACTTTACAGCTATAAATTACAGAGGATTATTATTTATTATCCCACTTCCTGATGTATGCATCCTAAAGCTCAATTAACACTTCGCTCTGTCAGCACAAATCTTCTCAAGTACTATGCACAACAGTTCTAGTCACATCACATCATTTTGTACTCAGCTTTTTTCCAGTGTAGCCACACCAACACACACACACACACACCCACACACACAACAGTGTAGCTTAACCAGTGCTTTTGCAAGTATTTGAATTTGAGCTCTGGAAGTATACAGTGTCCATCTTGGATCAGTCTGCACCGTGTGAAACATCTCTGTTAGTAACTACAACCAAGACTGACTCAGGATCAGTATTTATCCAGGTAAATTTCCTTTCCCTCCTCGATGCACACAATCAGGCTAGTTCTTTGCATGGCTAGCTGCCCTTTGATTCTCACTTCCTTCAATAAAATCAGATGAACTGTTTAATTGTGTCTTCGTTTATTTGAAATTATTCATGCTTTGGTGCTCTTTGATCTTTGATATTAAGTTTTAAATTATTTACATATCATTTCCCTCAGCAGTCGGTCTGTTTTTGTTTCTCTGCAGTTTATGGGAATGATGAAAATTTTAGCTTGTATTACTAATACTTGGAGAACTAAAATATTAAACCGCAAGCTTTCATCAATTAATACTGGGATTACATCAGAATTAACCATAAAACAGCAATATTACAGTATTAAGTAACTCAACAAGGTAAATAATGTAGTTAAAGGGATATTCTGATGTAAAACTAATTTAGGGTAAAACGCACTGTAACACCGAGTTAGACACCCCCGAGAGATGAATGTTGCCATGTTGCTTCTCTAGTTATACCAACATTAATAACGACCACATGATAACAATACACAGCGGTCTGAGGAGCCACAAACAAACCTCCAAAATGCCACTCTATAACCACAAATGATGCTCAGAACAGCACCCAACTTCATCAACAGTACATATAGGGTCCCAGCCATAGTACTAGCCACCAATTATCTTTTTAACTTTGCCTAATTTCTTTGGCAAAGAGAATAAACACAACTCACCTACTCTCTTCCAGCAGCCACTTGTTTGTAGCAAGACCTCAGGCCAGTCCATTACGGACTACAGTGGGGTGACACAGCTCGAGGAAGAACATTTATGATCATTTCTTCATGGAAAGAACTACCATGTCTGCAGTGCAAAATGATTATTATGGTGATTATTACTCCAAGGAAATGATAAAGAAATGATCATAAATGTTCTTCCTTGTGTGTGGCTCCTCAGACCACTGTGTATTGCTATCGTGTGGTCGTTACTAAAGTTGGTATAACTAGAGAAGCAAGCGGTCGGCAACATTCATCTCTCGAGGGGGGTGTCTAACTCTGTGTTATGGTGTATTTGACCCCAAATTAATTTTACACTGGAATATCCCTTTAGTCTATCTGATTTGTCTGAAAATGTTCCATGGCTATAGCAGAACTATAGCAGTTCTAACTTTTTTTGAGTAAATAAAGTTAGTGACTTTTCATGAATTTATTGAAAAGTTAGAAAAATCATCCTGACCCTGACTCATGCTGTCAGACTGGAGGCAGACTAACCTGAGAGGCTTGTTCATTTATGTCCTTCACTTCTGTATTTTACTCCCTCATACGGTCAAGCTGTGTCCTGTCCAGTCACCAGCCTGTTCTGCTTTGACACTAATCAAACAGTTACCCTGTAATGCTGTCTAATTAGCTGATGTAACTAATGGCAGGAGAGTTAGGTGACAAAATTTAATCGTTTAATCAGTTTGTTCAAAAAGTGACCCCACAGTGAAGGCCAGTTTTTAAATATCACCACTTAAAGCCACTGGCAAAGGAGCAACTACAATGACTCATATGGCTTATACTTTACAACTTAATAAAACACATGCCAAGAGACACAATACAGAAGAACTGAGGAATCAATAGCATTCATAAGTTATAGATAAATCAGATTCCCACTGAGCATTTTTTGGTCTAAAAGAGGTCAAATAGATCTCTAAATGTAGCCTAGACGACTGGTCTAAAATTAGGCTACCACAGGTCTAAAAATGAACGTTTTTTAAAGGTATAAATTTAGACCAAGTCTAAATCCGGGCTAATATCTATACTACAATGTAAATTGCTCAACGGCTATCATTATTATTCTGGTTTAGTACTTGGAGATCAGTTATGCAACTCACAGTTGCTTTTTGAAATAAATAGTTATCAAATAATGGGTTAAAGTGCAACGTCTAAACTCTGCCTAAAAATATACAAAATCTAGATGGTTGAAATTAGGTCTAAACAAAATCTAGACATCTAATAGCTGTCTATTGCTCAGTGGGTTATACATTTGACTACACAATAAACTGAATATATCAACACTGCAAAATAAATGGCACGCCAGATGATTTTACAGCCAAATATTGAGCAGATAGAAAAATAAAGATAATGAAGCCAAAAGACAACTCAACAGGTCAAAAAGACAAATATGACCAAAAAAATAATTATTACAGTTCAACCAGAAGCCACAACACAAATAAATCAAACCAACCAAATAGAAAACAATAGCAAATGTAGATAACACTACTTTAGAACCAAACACTGACAATGCAACCAAATGGGAAAACCCAACAACAACAAAACCAAATACTGACATCTAACTGGGATAGCATGACAAACACAACATCATGGCCAATATACAAACCAAACGACATGACCAAATACAACATAACACAACATAACATGATATGAAAACAATACACTATAGTATGATCTACATATTCTTAATTGACTCCCTGAGGAACTTTGTGCTGCCCGCACTCGCCACACTAAAACCAGTCCAATGGTCAATCCAACCAAATATTGACAAAATAACAATATGTGGAAATTTAACACAAATGGACAAGCAACATAACCTTGGACTCTAGCTACACACAGTTACCGATCATGCAACCAAACAACCCAACAAAATACAAGACAACAGAACAGTGGCAACTTAAAACGCCCCAACACAACCACACAAGAGCCACATCGTGGGAATAACACGGGCATGTTCCTCAGCTCCATTCTGAAATATAATTCGGTTGTGTCCGACACTTGCTGAGTGTTTGTGTATCTGGTTTGAGTCAGCATTTGGTTATGTTGTCAGCAGTTTATAAAACAGACACTGAATCCAACAAAATGTCTTCCGTCTTTGCCACGGAGCTACACCGAGATCTTTCATTCTAGTCGACAGTGAAGAGACTGGGAGGACTTCTTGTTCTTAATGACCGTAAATAATGTGATTAACTCCAAATCAAATTAATTGGCAATGGTGGAGCTGCTGGCAGGCCGTGGACTAAGCTGGCAAAGACAGTTTCTGTGTGTGTGTATATGTGCGTGCATGTGTGTGTATGTGTGTGTGTCCCTGCTGTGGTGTGAGGAACATTTCTCAAATCATGACCCAGTTCTGTTATCAAATTGGATCAAATGTGATTTTCCACTCTGCAATGAGAGAGAGAGACAGAAATGTGTACAGCTGGCAGTACATCAAGCTACTTGAACATTTTATAAAAGTGCTGACTTTGGTGCTCGAGATCCTTCATTTACCGTAGTAACTGAGCGCTTTACGTCTCTCTCTTTCATGAAAATGAGCAGAGGAAGTCAAAATCCCCTGAAATTCCCTCTCTGTGGCTCAAACAGAGGTGATAAGCAGAAAATGTAAGGCTGAGTAACTGTCTCTTTCTTGGCAAATCCCGTTCACTCTTCCTTTACGCCACATCCATCAACATCAAGTCCAGACGCTGATCTGCAGAGTTTGGGGCAACAAATCCTAGCAGAGAGCACCAAAGAGACTGGTCCACAGGCGTATCATCGCCGCTGCAGAGGATGAAGTAATACAGCTCATTAAATGTGTGATTCGTTCACAATCAGCCTCTGTCTTGTAACGTTCACACACACACACACACACGTCTCTGCATCTTTTGAAACTGAGCCACCGCTGCTGGACTGACTGAAAGCACGGGTGATGATTGCAGCAAAAAGGGCGCTAACATGCAGCAGGAATACAGCAAAAATGCTAATTCTGGAAGAAAATCCAGGCTCAAAATAGCTCTTGATTATAAGGGCTGGCAAGAGGAGAGGAAAGCACTGTCAGGGGAAATAAAGCTTTCTGCTGCTTGGTGGACAAAAAGAAGGAAACATCTTACAGACTTCTAAGTACAGTACATGCAAATAAAGATTATACTTTTCATCCTTCCCTTTCTATCACTGCCTGTTAAATTCAGTGTACGGGTAAGGGTATTACACCCAAAGTAAACAAGGCAGGAAATGGTTCAATCTGGCTTTTGTGAAAATTTTTGAAATTTACACTTAAAAATCAGAGCTTTTTATTCATTTGGGCTGTATCTGTATCTCTCCATAAACACAGTAAGCTCTGTGCTGTATAGATAGTGAGCGACTGTGGTAGATTTACCTTTAAGGATAAGGTTCTCAGAATCCTGTGTTGACTCCTGTTTAAAATGCAGTTTGAATGGTGAATCTGTTCAGCCACTGCGGAGACAAAAATGCTTTTATTCAAGAGAAGACGCCACAAGAATAAGCTCTGTTATAAAAAGCAAAGTTTTGAGCCTCCTCTTCTCCAAAGAAGATAAGATGTCTGCCTCCTGCACACAAACTGAAGGATGATTCCACCAGAGACGGGCCTGATGATTGAAAGCTCAGCCTTTCGTACTGCTTTTGAAAACTTTATCAAGTGAGCCTGTCAAACCAAAACAAGACACTTCTAAAAGACAATTCTCAGAGCTGATGAGAGTCTTCGAGTGAAGTGATAATTAAAAAAAAAAAAAAAGATATTCTCAGTCTGAAGTTGTTTTTAATCATGAAAACTTATGAAGTGAAAAAGTTGGTTAATAGATGGTGTATGTTTGTAAAGTTACACTTCAGCCCAAAAGAACTACAAATTTGCACAAATTAAAGAAAAAGTATCACCTCACACTCAAATTACAGTCTCTGATGATCACACCAAAGTCTGGATCTTTTCCTCCTCCCTGTCTCATGTTGTCGCCATCCTTGGATTTCGGGTTGTGTTTACGATTTTTCAGGCCCATGGCCAACTGGACCATTAAAAATTAAGGAGGTACACTAAGACAGAATATTTAATGCATGGTCTCATCTCCTGATGCCGAGGCTACCTCCGCCGGCTCAGGATGCTGCCTGCGTCACCATGCTAGTTGACACTAGTCCAGAGGTAGGAGATGGTAGACAGTGTTTGGAGTCTGTCTGAAAACTGAGAAGTCAGAGCGTATCCTCATAGAGGTTGAACAGGACATAGAACATATAGGCCCTGGGGTTGACACATGAAAGCTGTCTTTGAAGCGTGTAACTCTGGGAATGATAGATCTAGGAATTGCATATGCCTCTTTGCGTCTGCAGAGTCAGTACTTAAGGGGAGGCCTGGGGTGATTTACTGTTTATACTCAC